ACCATCAGAGTCGTACTGTCCCAACATTTCCCCTGCGACACCGTCGAGACCCCCTCCATCAAGGACTTGCCCACTCACCCCGAGGCTCCACCTGGCGAATACCCCATCGCCTTCGCAAGCAAGAAGCTCCTTCCCGCAGAGATGAATTACCCCTCCAACGAGGAGCTCCTCACCGTAAGTCATGCCCTCACAGTGTGGCCCCCGTACCTCGACGGGCAATACTTCACCATCCACACTGACAACACCATCGTCTCCTCCATCCTTTCCAAGAAAAGATATCACTCCACGCCAAGCCCGCTGGCTGGACTTCCTTGCCCAATTCACATTCACCATTTTCCATACCCCTGGCAAAAGCAACCGCATTGCGGATGCCCTCTCTCGACGACCCGACCACAAGCCCCCCGAGAAAGTCTACGCCGCCATGACTCATATCCAACTCCTGCCATCACTCCATCACCGATACACCCAAGGCTACCTATCTTGCCCAGATTTCATCACCATCTACAACAAGCTCCGTGATCTTGACCCTGTCCCCAAGTACTCCCTCCATGACAACCTTCTCTACATCAATACCAAAGGCACTCGCCGACTTTGCATCCCCGACGCACGTGGTCTCCGTACTCAACTCTTGGCCGAGCACCACGACGCCAAGACCGCAAGACACCTTGGTTTCCAGAAAACCTTCGACACCATCTCCCGCTACTTCTATTGGCCTTCCCTGCTCGTCGACGTCAAAGCATACATTCGCTCATGCCCCACGTGCCAAGCTATCAACCTCTCGAACCGGGCCAAACCCGGCCAGCTCCAATTATTGCCCATGCCTACTCATCGTTGGCAGTCCATCTCCATGGACTTCGTGTGCGGTCTTCCCAAGACTGACCGCGGACATGATTGCATCTACGTCATTGTCTGCCGCTTGACCAAACGTGCCCACTTCATCCCCTGCACGATCTCGCACAGTGCCAAAGACGTCGCCACACTCTTCTTCGATCATGTTGCTCGCCATCACGGCATCCCCGAGAACATCACCAGTGACCCTGATCCTCGCTTTCTCTCACAATTCTGGAAACACCTCTTCACGGTCTACGGAACCACGCTCAAGTATAGCACTGGACAAACATGAACGATACTCTCCAAAGAATTCTGCGGAAGTATTGTCACCCCCACCAACACGATTGGGATCAGTTGCTCACAGCTGCTGAGATCGCCTACAACAACACCGTCTGCCCTTCCACCGGCATGTCCCCTTTCTACCTCGACTTGGGTTACCACCCTCGCTTACCCTCCAACTTCTTGCTTCCTTCGCAGCTTAACCCATCCACCCCCTGCCCCTCTCTCAATGAATGGATAGCAACAATGAACAGACTCCTGAGAGAAGCCTCCAAAGCCATTGAACGAACCCAAGAACAACAAGCCAACAAGACTAACAAACGGAGACGCGACGTATCATTCAAAGTAGGGGACAAAGTCTGGCTCTCCGCCAAACGCTTTGAACCCGAACACGGCTTGTCCAAGAAACTCTCCAACAAATGGCTCGGTCCCTTCCCCATCATTGAACAAACCTCCCCCGTTAACTACAAACTCCAACTTCCCCCTGACATGAGTCGTGTCCACCCAGTCTTCCATGCCGAGTACCTAAAAGAATACCATGAATCCCCCCCCAGTTCGCCGACCGCCCATATCCTAGACCTCCACCGATCATGCTACCCACAGGCCCTGAATTCGTTGTCGAAACCATCATCGACCGACGAACCACTCAGGTATCTGATCAACCGGAACCAATCACTGAATACAAAGTCAAATGGACCGGATACCCCGATGAAGAATCTACATGGGAACCTCTCTCTAATCTTAAGAACGCCATGAAACTTGTCCGCGCCTATGATCGTGCTAATCCTGTCCTAGATACCTATATAACTATGGCATAAACCCTGCTACAACCTCGCAACCCCACTCTACAGACACCCTTCAACCCAGTCCACCCTCCCCTTGACCTTCATTCCTGATGTCTGATTTGCCCTTGCCCTCGCCTAGCCTTGTCCCATCTGTCCTCTCCACTACCTTGTCTGTCTTGTCCAATGCTTGTGAACCTGCGTGACGCCAATGATAAAGGATCTAATGGCAAGCGCACGAGGACGATGGCCTGCTGCCTCACTGTTCATGGAGATTATGCAGCTGGTGTGGCCACCATGCTGTTTCGTCGGCCGGCATCCCGACTCGCGGACTTACTGGAGCAGCAACTTGTGACATGGATCTTTGCATCAGTCTGCGACTTCCTTGCTCCCAGATCAGACCTCATTGCAGTTCGTGTACCGGACACACCCTAGCACTTGGACTTTGACACTTGAACTACTACTACGCTTCTTGGACTTCTACCTGTCGCAGCCGCTGAAGACCGCTTCTGCCACCTACTCCAAAGACCTGATCAAGACCACTGCAGACCCCCTTTCAAGACAGTTGGACACTTTGTTCCTACATGATATTCTGCTTCCGACTCCTTCGGACACACCAGCCCTTGCATCCTGAACAAACATTTTCATTTTTATTTTTCCTGACTTTGACAACCCACTAGAACAGCGATAGACATCCCCTGTTTCCCTGACCATTGTTTCCCTTACCCAGTAGAACATCAATAGAAGTCCCCTGTTCCCTGAACTGTGTTCCCCCTTAACCTATAGCAAACCATGCAGTCCCCTTAGTTCATCAGTTGGACTACCCTGTTCCCTGCCGTCCCTTTAGTTCAGGATTTTTGGCAGCCGGGACGTTGCCTTCTAGAGGGAGGGGATAGTGTTACGGACTCCGCCAGGGCTCGATCCCTGGTCTATCTTTTTGCTGTTTCGACTGCATCCCGTTTTCGGCCTGGCACTCTTTCTCCAAACCCCTCCTTCGGTACCGTAGGATTTTGGACAACTGGCGCCATGCTGCAATTCGGGCGCCACTTTCAAATACCGCATTTTTCAGTTCTGCCCTCGGGGCCTTTGCAGAAATGCCCCTGGTACCGTACGTGTCACCGGTACTTATACCGGCTTCCCGTACGGTACGGGGACCAGTCTCGTACCAGTTTTCTGCTGCTGTACTCGTACTCAGTGTGACTTGCTGTTTGGGCATTCGGAATCCAAGACTTCGACTTTGTGCCTTGCCACGGTGTCTGCGTCCGACCCTCGGTTGTGTCGAGTGAGTGTGTGTGTGTGTGTGCTCTCACTCTCTCCCTCTCTCTCAACTCTCCCTCGGCTCTCCCTCAGCCTCACGCGCGTCACACGCCATATCCCATCTACCACTGCGAGACATCCGTTAAAATGAGAACGATATTGAGAAGATTAGCATGGGCCTTTCGCAAGGAGGACACGCACAAATCCAGAAAAGGTCAACAAAAAAGAAAAAATACCTAGGTGGGAGAGGAGGAGGATGTGGGCGAGGAGGACAAATAGAATAGTGATGACGAGGCAGCGGAGGAGGAGAAGAGATGGACAGACGGAAAAGAGGAAGGGCAGCAGGAGAAGGACGGGTGGAAGGAGGACACTTGGATGATGAGGAAGGGGAGGAGACGAGGGAGGAAGAGGGCAGGAGGAGGAGGACGAATGAGAGGAGGAGACATGGAGGACGAGGAAGGGAGGAGACGAGGAGGCATGGAGGATGAGGAAGCACGAGGAGACATGGACGACGAGGAAGGGCAGGAGGAGGAGGACGAGTGGGAGAAGGAGAGATGGAGGACGAGGAAGGGAAGGAGGCGAGGAGACATGGAAGACGAGGAAGGAGGAGGAGGAGGAGGAGACATGGAGGACGAGGAAGGAAAGGAGGACGAGGACGAGTCGAAGGAGACGAAAAGGAGCAGGAGGAGACATGGAGGATGCGGACGAGTCAGAGGAGACGAAAAGGAGCAGTAGGAGACATGGAGGATGAGGAAGAGGAGGACCGAGGTGAGGGGGCACTCTTCCAGCGCGGCGGCACTCCTCGAATGGCTGCAACAGATGAGCAGGAAGCCCAGCCCAGAGGCCCAGCCCAGCCCTGGAAAGACTTGGACACTGTTTCAAATTTTGAAACCTCACTTGGTCTGCGCTTGAGCATGCGGGCCTAAAGAAAAACAAATTCATCCCGCTTTGAATTTCGGCGGAGGGCCTTGAATGCGCCGTTTCGACCCCCGATTTTTTTATTTTTTTTTTTGGTTGGGGGGGTCACGGGCCGTTCCCCACACACGTTGTGCGCTGTACAGGAACGGTTGGGCTCACGTGCCGTAGGTTGGGAACCGCACGCACGACGTGCGTTTGCAAGTATGGTTGATAGGTATACCCACCGAGCTACCTTCTTCCCCCGAATAGAGCATACGGTCACTTTCGCTGCATCTGGACTGAAATGTGAGCCAAATACGGCCATAACGACTGTATGTTCTATGTGGGCCAAAGACGGTAAAGCCCATCAACAATATGAGTTGTTATGACACATGTGGCTCTACAAACCAGGAGCTGTGGTTTTGTAGCAGAAGTGAAGGAATATTCTTGACAGATCGGCGGGCCTGACTAATCTACAGTGCGGCAGGCATGGTTTCATGATTTTTTTATATTCTTTTTTGGTATCATGAATTTCTTTTATCCCTCTGCCTCCCCAATAAATCACTGCTAGATTTGTGGCAATTTGCTCACAGATTTGCCACTCACTAATCTCACTTTCATTCGGTACCCAGAGATGCTGTCTCATCCTCACCTGTCACAGGCTGACAGACCTCTTCTCCGATACATTCTCTTGACCCGGAAGCTTTGCTCAGGATTAACATCGGCCGAGCTCGAGCTGGCGGGTGTGTGGCATGTTGGGAGGATGGCATTTTCGTGGCGTTCTTGTTTGTCATCATTATAATTGATTCTTCTCACATTCTCTTGACGTGAAAGCTTTGCTCTGGATAAACACTCCTCAAGCTCGAGCTGGAGAGTCTGTGGCGTGTTGGGAGATTGACATTTTCATCATGTTGTTGTTGTTGTTGTTGTGGTCGTCGTTGTTGTCGTCATCAGGTGGAATCATCACCAAGTGGTGTTTTTATGGGGATCTATGATGGCCACGGCGGACCCGAATGCTCCACATTTATCAGAGAGCATTTGTATCCAAACTTGCAGAGTGAGTCCTTTCTTTCGTTTCCCTTCTTTTTCCTTTTTTCAAAAGGGCAACGGCCTTGAGATGCCATGATCTGAACTGACCGACCCTAGGTGATTCAAATTTGCAGTGTTTTACTCGTTTGCTTCATCTGCTTCGAGTGGAGTTTGAACTCAGATCTGTATTTCAACAGTCAGGGATGTACTTACTGAAGGGGTGTCTGGCGTGTAGTTGTTGAGGGGCGCAGCGCATGTATCAACACATGACTTCCCTGCTGATTGTCCGCACCGACACATTTGTCATTTGGTCAGATACTTGGCGGAGTTCCCAGCATATATCCAGCTTGGCACCTACACATTACTGTGTAAGTACCCCAAGATGATGAGGTGCCAGACGACTACGTCGATATGAGCTCTTGGGAGTCGTCAGCCTGTTATCCCCGACGTACCTTTTAGGCCAGTTGAGTTCTTTCTTTTGCCTGGGGAGTTCTGCGAGGCACAAGGCCTCGATAAGCCCTACTGGGCCCCTATTTGCAACAGTGTCGGCCGCCCTAAGTGAAGGCAGGCTCGACAGACGGCAAGAGGCCTATTTTGGACTACTTCGCAACTGAGGGAAAATTCAGGCAGTTGCGCAGCGCCAGTTGGTTGAAAGCGCCCAGGCCCTGGCCTCCTTTATCAAATGCATCTGATTCAGGCCCTGGGCGAGATACTCACCATGGACCCAACTCAGGCTGCGGGCAGTTGGGCACGGGTAACTGTCACAGGCCTTGGGCCTGATCCGTTTGGTCTGGGGCTCAGCCTCTCTGGGCCTACCAGAAGCTTCTGGGCAGGGGCCCAGCGCAGCCAGGCTGCACGCAAGGCAGGCAGGCCACTTCCATTTAGGAAAGGGTCTGCACACGCATTCGGCATTCGGGCACTGGCTGCATGCTGTGTAAGCGCTGCTGCGCTAACGCTGGCCAGCGCTCACACGCTCACGGGCGAGCTGGAAGGAGCAGACAGCCATAGCCGAGCTGCGCTGCTGTATGCTGGATGGGGCGCATGGTGGTCCTTATCTGTGAGTTGGGGAACGAGGTTGTGAGTGATACGAGAGACATACCTGGTGCTTGAAGCGTACGGCATTGGCCGAGATCTGCTCGTACTTCGGGGAGCTGTTGACGTCATCGGCGGCATTGTAGATTAGGCTAGATAGGATCTGTCATCTGTAGTCTGGGCGCGGAGCGCCTGATGTGTGTTCTGTCTTAAGAGTCCTCTCATGTGAGGAGTCGTGTGCGCTCAACCTTGAGAGTCGTCAGCCTTCACGTGGAGCATCTGGAAGAAGAGGGGGGTGCTATCTGAAGGGCCCTGGATGAAGCATTGGGTCACGGTCACCATGCCAACCCACCGGGAGTAGAGCACGCATGCTTTGCTGCTTTGTCCTTTGTCTGCTTGCTGCGCTGTAGAGGGGTTCTGAAGGGCAGGCCAAACCCAAATGTTTAGTCTCTGACATAGCCACCGATTATTTAAAATCGGTATGTACATCATGCTGCGGTAGGCATCGAGAGTGTCCTAGTGAAGACAGTGTACAGTGTTGTAGCCTATGAGTGACAGGGAGGTCCCACAACCGGACAAGGATCTTGCGATCGGCAAGACGCCCGATAGCCCACTTGGCCTTAGGGCCAGAGGGCGACAGGTTATTGTTCAGTCAGCTTAGGGAGAGGCAGCAGCAGCAGCGGAGAGCTAGGGCAGCGGAGGCCAGCAGAGCATTCGCAAGTGAAGCCGCTGCTTCAGCAGCCATGGCAACTGCTGCGCAGCAGAGTTCCCAGGCTAGCAGTTCAGGATTTGTAGGGTCAACGGTCGCGTAGACCCAGAGTCAGTCCACTGGCGTAATGGCAAGCCAGCCTATTGTGTTGACCCCCGAGGAGGTTGCCATACAACGAGCAGCTATTCGCGAGGCACAGCTACAACAGGCGTTAGGGGAGATTAAGGCAGAGAAAGAGAAGATGATTAGAAGAAGAGCCAGGATGCAGCGGAGAGAAGCGGACATTAGTGAGTTAGAGGGAATGGACCTAACGCATATGATGCAAATGTGAGGACGTTGCAGACAGCCCTGCGAGGTGTTGTAAAAATGCAGGACCATCACACGGCCCTCCTTCAGGATATTCAGCAGAGTCTGGCCATTCTGGTCGGGCGTGCGCAGGCAGCTCCATCACCGTCCGGGCCTGGTGCCTGGCCTGTTGTACAGCCTTCTCCTTTTGTCCCACCGGTGACTGGGGTATCCCCATATGTCACTCCAGCGTCGGTCCAAGCCGCTTCCCTAGGCATGCCCTGGACAAGAGGGTTCTCAGCAGGTCCCAGCGTACAAATTCCTGTACAGACTGTGTTTTCCCAACCTCCGTTGCAGGTTGCCGTAAGCGGGCAGCCTGCTGTCGCGCAGCCTACACAGCCGCAGGGTACACAGCCCCAACAGAAGCTAGTGCAGCAGCCTGCGCCTCAGGGTCCACAACCCGGAATGGTACAGGTACCGGGACAAAGTCAGTGGGTTCCAAAGACGACCATCGCTGCTCCTAAACCCTTCACAGGGGACAAGAGGGGCGAAGACCTTGACACATGGTTGAGGTGAGTGCCAGTCTACGTCAAGTGCAAACTTACCTTGCCACACGAGGAAGTGCTTTGTGGCTGCCTCCTATCTAGAGGGGAGTGCAGCAAGATGGTTGAGTGGTTTAGTGCAGTTGCAGGGATATGGTCATGACTTCCACGCTTGGGCAGTCAACCAGAAACTGGAGGACTTCCTCAAGATGGTGGAAGACAGGTGGCATGATCCTCAAGAGGCTCAAAAGGCCACTGATGCGATCCTGACTTTGCACAACAGGCATTTTAAGTCAGTAAGAGAGGCCACCGACGCAGTAGAGTGTCTGATCTGTGTCCCTGGGGTGCGCTATGACGCCCAGGTTCTACTCACCTCCCACCGACGGATGGTAGGAAAAAGTCACTGCCTCTCAACTGGAAGGCGAAGGGTCGCATCATGTTCGTCGACAACGATGGTTCTACCATCGAGTTGGATGACGACTTCCAGGCAAGAGCAGGTTCAGAGGAAGACAGTGTAGAGGTTTCAGGGGGTGGACTAGTCGTTGCCTCTGTGCAGAAAGGTAAGGCGACCAGTAGACGCCGTAGAGGTTCCCGGTCCAGGAGTCAAGTAGATCCCAATGCCCCTCCATGGGAGAAAGCGGGTCTCACAGAGGACATGTGGAGAGACAGGTACACCAGGAAGGCCTGTATTCGTTGTGGTCAATATGGCCACAACCAATTCAAGTGTCGCAATAAGGAGGTGACCGAGAAGATCCTGCCTATGATGGGGAAGGCGCTGGGATCCTCCACTCCCGTTGGCAGCAATGTGGCCAGCAGTTCTGGCACTGCTCCGGGAAACGCGTCGGGCCAGTAGGAATAGTAGTTGTTCCTGCTAGGGTCGAGGTGGTGGACACACCCTCACCATCTCGAGAGATGGCCCAAGCTACTGACTCCATGGTCGTCCCGCAAACACATTCAGACCCATCGAGCCTCTGTTCGATGAATGTGTTTGAATCCTTAGAGGAGCTAGAGGAGGAGTGGTCCAAATCAGACCCGCTAGCTTCTGGGACGGCTTTGGCAAAAGCCCCTAGGAGTGAGATGTTCGTCGGCGAGGTAGTCATCGGCGGCCATAAGGCCGGGGCCTATTATGACACTTGCTCGATGCGAAATTTTATCAGTCGCGCGTGCCTTGAGAGACTGCGCTTACAGGGGCAAGTGCAGCGCCTGAGTCGACCTGTGCCAACAAACAGCGCATGGTAGTCGATGACTACCTCCAAGATGTGGAGTGTTGTTTCCCGTACACAGGAGGGGAACTGAGACATCGCGTTTCGTTCCTAGTGAGCGATGATCTCCCTATGGATATCTTGTTAGGTATGTACTACCTCTCTGTTGTACATCCCCAGTTTGACTGGGACCGAAAAGTGGTCAAACACACTTTGCCAGGTGGGGGGACCGCCAGATTACGTAAGTTCAAAGTTAGTAGTCTGATTGAGTCCTACGGATGCATGTGTGCGGCCTTGTTCTATAACTGTTATAAGCAAAATCGGGAGGAGGGTATGTATCTAGTTTGTCTCTGCAGTAGGCGAGCCGGTGAAAATGTCGTCGGAGATAGAGGGAGTAGTTGCTAAATACCTTGATGTATTTGAAGAGCCGAAATGGGTTGTTGAGAGGGAGGTCGTCCACGCAATAGAGATTATCCCTGGGCCTAGCATCCGGAAGGGTAGGATCTATCGGATGTCTCCAGGAGAGCTTGATGAGCTTCGCCGGCAACTCAAGGAACTCGTAGAGAAGGGTTGGATCCGGCCAAGTGTCTCCCCTTACGGATCCCCAGTGTTATTTGTGCCGAAGAAGGGGGGAACTCTGAGGATGTGCATTGACTATAGGGGCCTCAATGCCATCACTGTCAAGAACCGAGAGCCCCTACCGCGCATCGATGACTTGCTAGATAGAGTGCAAGGATGCCGGTACTTTAGTAAGATAGATCTGAAGTCCGGGTACCATCAGATTGCAATCAGGCCCGAGGATCAACACAAAACCGCATTTCAGACCAGGTACGGTCTGTACGAGTTTGTGGTGATGCCTGTCCGCCTCTGCAATGCTCCTGGCACCTTTCAGCATGCTATGAATCGGATCTTCCATGACTACTTGGATAAGTTTGTCATCGTGTACCTCGATGACATACTTATTTTTAGTAGGACTGTCGAGGAGCATGTTGCGCACTTAGACAAAGTCCTCAGTCTCCTTCGGCAGCACAAGTTCAAGATCAACGGGGAGAAATGCGAGTTTGGTCGCACCTGGATCTTGTACTTGGGTCATGAGATTTCCGCAGAGGGTTTGAAGCCCGATGACGCGAAGGTGGCCAACATTCGTGACTGGCCGTGTCCTCAGTCTGTGACTGAGATGAGGTTTTTTTTAGGGATGACCGACTACTACCGTAACTTTGTTAAGAACTATAGTATAGTTGCCGCCCCTTTGACTGAC